GCCGAAGGCAGACGCTTAACGACTGAGCCACCCAGGCGCCCCTCACGTATTTTATATGCTATGTGTCCTCTAAAAGGATGATGGAATTTGCCAAGTTGATATCCTTAAAAGCTGTACTGAAAAGCAGCATTTTAATAATTTTACATATATCAAATAGGACGTATAACAAATAAAAAATATACTTTAAAAATGTTAGACTAATTTAAGAAGTTATTTAAACACAGTCCCTCTCTCTCTTTCCCTCTCTGTGGAGAGACTTAACTGGTTATAAGAAAAATATCTGGAAGTTTAACTGATAACACTTGAATATGGATCGAAGATGTCTTCAGGCCACCTAAAATCACACTATAATGTGAAGTTATGCTAATATAAAGAAGTACTCAGAACACTCGTCTCAGTATATGCTATTTAAGTATCTTGTTCAATTCTGAGTGCTATGTTGAAAGAGCGACAGTGAAAACAGAGTTGGCCAACCAGGATGGTTCCATCAGTTAACTGTTTCCATCTTCACTGTCTCCTCATCTTCCAGTTCCTTCCCCTCAAATGTGAACATGCTGACACAGCTGTCAAACTCCAAGGTTGACTTTCAGTCCATATACTATTTGCTGCTTAATTGGATTCTTCTTGAGACGATCAAAACCCTTTACCGTTGATCTCAATGGTCAGCGCCATCTAAATTCTTTGGCTGCTTCCCCTAAGTCTCCATCAAAGGATCCTCTTTTTGCTATGTCCTTTAACTATTAATGTTCTATATAGCAGCACCACTGACCCTCTTTTCTTCTGATTTACCAATATCTATAACTTTACCAATGTACCAGGGTATCCACATCTTTCTTTCTAGCCAGACCTTTCTCCTGAGCTCTACATCTATATATCTGATTGTCTGATGGATGGCCCACAGACCCCTCAGTCTCAAAAAAAAAATCACTACTTAGGCCTGAAAAATCAGTTCCTCTTGTATTCCCAATCTCAGGGAAAAGAACTATTACTATTGTGCTACACAAGGAGTCTTGACTCTGTTTCCTTGTCCCTGTCTAACATGCAGCTGATCTCCAAGCCATGCTGATTCTACCCAGGCCCCCCTCCCCTAGCCTTTGAAACTCTGGTATTTCCTGAGTTCAGGCCTGCATTATCTCAAATATCTTAAGACTCTGTCCAACTAGTTTTGCCTTAATTCCATCCATTGTCCATATGTACCAGAGTAAGCTTTCTAGATACAGAAATATACACTCACATTTTCAATTTCTGGCATTAATCACTCACGAGTTAAAATTCTTTAAGGCCTCCCCAGAACTGATGAGATAAATCTAAACTCTTTCATGTGGTCTTTGATGAGCTGGTTCCCATCTACTTACTTAGCTGTTTCTAGATTAATTCTTCCTTGTTCACCCCATGCTTAGGCCACTATGAGTTAACTGCCATTCTCCAGATACGTCTCCAGTGGTCTAACCATGGATAGTGATTCCCTAGAAGGAAGTGAACCGTCTATAAACTTAAATGTCTAAGCAAAAGCGATGGGGAATTCCAAAAGAGAGTCCAGCCTTAGGGGCAACGAGTATAGACTGGCCCAATGGGAGGGTATGGTCAGACATAAGAACATGAAATGCTGTGATGACACACAATAGGAAGCACTGAATTCTCCAGTGAATAGGGTATAACAGACTGTTTTTAGAGTACCAAATTATTTTTACATTTTTTGAGGGTAAAATTGAGCTTTCTGGTTAAAAAATATATATATGTGTATATATATATACACATATGTATATAAAAAACAGTAAAAAAAAAAAACCACCACAAAACAAAACAAAAAAAACCCAACAACAACCCAACAAAAATCTACTGAAGCTCTAAGTTTAGAGGTAAATAAATTATGTTTTGACAAGAGAAGAAAATACTTAACCCCCCAAATGTAAAGTTGATATAACTTTGCTTTATTTTACTTTCATCATGTTAGCATCAGGTCCTTCCTTGTAAACTGCTGCTATCTACTCAGGCCCAATTCAAAGCTCAGTTCCTCCTGATCTGTGGCTCTGCTCTGAGGTCAGGGATCTCCCATTCTTATGAACAACCAGAGCCCCAGAAATCTGCACCACCCATATGCTGCTCTGAATGGACTAGAGAGCCTGGTCCATTTAACTGTTTCCTTGGTAAATACTGCTCATCTCACTAATCAGATCATAAGCTTCCTGGGGACATGGCCAGGGTTACTTTTATCTTGGTGTTCCAAATCTTACACTATACCTAATATATAGTCAGTTGAATGAAATACAATGAATAAATGAATGAACAAATGAATCTCTTTAAACATTCCTCTTTATCATTTCTAATCTGATGCCATGCCACAAACCAGATCTCTACTTCCTATTCTTTTTTTTTTTTTTAAGATTTTAAAAAATTTATTTATTTGACAGAGAGAGACAGAGTGAGAGAGGGAACACAAGCAGGGAGAGTGGGAGAGGGAGAAGCAGGCTTCCCACCGGGTAAGGAGCCCGACGTGGCGCTGGATCCCAGGACCCTGGGATCATGACCCGAGCCTAAGGCAGACGCTTAACGACTGAGCCACCCAGGCGCCCCCCTCCCACAATTCTCTGTCTTAACAAACAAACAAATAAAAGCAAGCAAGCAAGAAACAAATACATTTTCAAAACAATCAACAAAACTAAAAGACAACCTATGGAGAGAATATATAGGAGAAGATGACTGCAAATGACATATCTGGCAAAGGGTTAGTATCCAAAATATATAAAGAACAGATACAACTCAACACCCCCAAAACCAACAATCCAATTCAAAATGGGCAGAAGACATGAATAGATATTTTTCCAAAGAAGACATACAGCTGGCCAACAGACATGTGAAAAGATGCTTATCATCACTCATCATCAGGAAAATACAAATCAAAACCATAATGAAATATCACCTTATACCTGTCAGAATGGCTAAAATAAAAAACGCAAGAAAAAACAGGTGTTGGTGAGGATGTGGAGAAAAAGGAACCTTCTTGCACTGTTGGTGGGAATGCAAACTGGTGCAGTCACTGTGGAAAACAGTATGGAAGTTCCTCAAAAAGTTAAAAATAGAATTACTGTACGATATATACATGATATATATGATACACACACACACATACACACACAAGAGTATTATTCAGCCATAAAAAGAATGAAATCTTGCTATTTCCAACAACATGGATGGAGCTAGAGTGTAATGCTAAGTGAAATAATTCAGTCAGAGAGAGATAAATACCATATGATTTCACTCATATATGGAATTTAAAAAACAAAACAAACAAGCAAAAGGAAAAAGAGAGAGAGACAAACCAAGAAACAGACTCTTAACTATAGAGAGCAAACTGATGGTCCCCAGAGGGGAGGTGGGTGGGGGGATGGGGGAAATAGGTGATGGGCATTAAGGAGTATACTTGTGATAAGCACCAGATGATTAAAATAAAAACTTAAAAAAAACAGTTTGTGCAAAGGAAAAACAAAAGAAACAAATACATTTTCTTATTTTTCTGAATACAAGCGTATACCACTAAGCCTCTATCATTTAATACATCTGAAGGAAACACTGTAACATTTAGGGGGTAAGAGTATATTTTGCATGTTTACAGGATGGTATCTGTATGTTTACCTAACCATTGTTTTGATCTCTCTGATTCATGACACTTTCAGAATAATGATTCCGAAGATCAATTACCACAGACTGAGTGTTCAACAGATACATGATATGAGGAGCCCAAGGCGAACCATTAAAATGGGCTTAGGGAAAAAGCCCTTTGCAGACCGGCAAAACAGTTGCGGCTTTGAGTGCTCATGCTCCCGAGTCCCCCTGGTTTTGCACCGGAAGCAGGATATGCACCTCAACTGACAGTGTTTTATGGTGAACACAGCAAGTGTGGCCCAGGTAACAATACTCAATAGCATGAAACTGAACACTGAGGGTAAGCTGACAGTTCAGGTACATAAAACATGGTGAGACAGTTAGTCCATTTTTAGGGACTGAGGGAAACTATTCAAGCAGGAGCCGATCCACATGGAAAACCACTTACCCAGGATTTGCTCGCTCCTTCACTCTGATCCAAGGCACCAGGAAGTGAATAATATTTTATATAAACACTGAGTTCTCACACAAAATCACATAACAACATTGAATTCTCAAAGGACTTTTTAAAAGTGCATTTATAGACTAAATGAAGGAAATATTTCAGAGGAAGTGCTCAGGGTCAAAAAGCATTAAGTGCAGTTTTAAAGGATTTTTATCAGAAATTTCAACTTTGATACATATAGGTATTTGAGGAGTATTATGAAGATCAATACATGTTGAATAATATATAATGAATTATATATAATGATTAATACAATGTTCTACGTCAGCTACTTCAATAACGCTGAATAATATATAATGAATATATATTGAATAATATATTTTATGATGTACAATATATCTTGAAATATATAAGTCTAGCTTCAGAGAGCATAACTTAGATAGGAAGGAAATTCTAAAAGTATAAATCAGAAAAGAAAAAAACAGGTAAGAGTAAGCAATAATTTTCAACAGATTAAGATGTGGTATAAGTGGGAAAATATTAAGTGTGGAAGATCTGGCAGATTCTGTTGTATTTTACACTGGATTAAATATATTCTGGAACATATTTTAGAAGTGTAAATCATGTATAAATGCATGATTTATGGTGGTCTTATAAATGACCACTGAGAGCCATCAAAAGTATTCAAATCAGCCAAAAAAAATTATATGTTTACAAACAAGTTTGGTTGATTTTTACTCTTACCTTGACCTAGTCTGCAAGAAACGTTTAACTTCAACTTTAATTTAATTAATTAATTTTTAGAGAATTTTAAAATTCAATGCTGACATTGCAATGTCTTAGGGGAGTTTCGGTTGAACGTGCCATGCATGACAGACCACCTCCACCCCACTCTTTTGCCTTATGGGGATCAGGTATGCGTCACGAGAGTGAAACAAACACTCTCGTTTACCTGAGACAGTGACTGTCGGAGCCGTGCCATCTGCGTGCTGTGGCCTTTATTGTGATCCTGCTCAGAAACCATCTGCTTAAGCTTCTCCTTCTCTATAGCTATGCTATTAAATGCAGACTTCAAAAGAGAATGCACTGGGTGGGGGGAAAAGTGAGAAACAAAGATTAAATGGATCCAGAAAGAATATACAAAATTACAAATTCCTCAGCACTTTAACTCATGCATAGACATTATCTGGAAGGATTATATTACAGTCTAGTTAAAAGTCAGCCTTACAATGGAATCTTCCAAAATACCTATACACAAAACGAATACGGTAATGGTAATTAATCAGAGCGAAAATCCGCGCATTTCATACCAGAAAAGACTTAGATGCAGGATATAAAATATTGATATCAATTCTTAAATATCAACATTTAGAAAATTAATCTATCATTCCTAGAAGGAAAAGGCAACAGGTTTTACACTGTCATGGTTGATAAGAATATATGAACAGTTCTGTGTACAATGAATTCTCATGCAAATTGTTTAGAACTATTCAAATATTATTTCCCCAAAGCAGGTACCCAAAAAGAGCATTTTATAAATCCTGCCAAAATAAAACAGGAAGCTGATCTAGAAGTCCTGACTAGTTCTCTTTGAGGTAGGAAATGATTTGGTCTCGAGAACAGCACTTGAATTACTTTCTCAGCCAGGAACATCTTGATGTAAGCAGTGCGTTCAAAGAGTAAAACTTCCAGGTTTGAGATGAATAAGTTCTGGAATTCTAATGTACAGTTTGATGACTATAGTTAATAATACTGTATTATATATTTCAAAGTTAAGAGAGTGGATCTTAAATGTTTTCACCACAAAAAAGAAATGGTAATTATGTGACAGGATGGACATGTTAGCTGATGCTATGATGGTAATCATTTTGTAATATTTAAGTGTATCAAATCAACAGGCACACCTTAAACTTATGAAATGTTATATGTTAATCATATCTTAATAAAGCTACAAAAAAACGAAATAAAAGCAACAATAAAAACAACACCCCCCCCCTTTTCTGTATACCTAATAACATACATTGGTAGAATCTGAGGTAGTCTTTAAGTTTGAAATACAGGAAGTTTGGATTTCCAACTCCTATCTTTATAATAACAGTTTCTATATATGCAAAGTCTTCTAAAATAGGGATTTCCATATTTGAGAACAGTTATTTTTAAGAAGTGGAAAATTTTAGCAAAAAACACTGGCTTGAATGAAGAGGGGAAAAATGATGGGATCACAAGGGACTCACAATCTATTGATTTATATGCCACATTCTAGTCATCATCAATTTAAAGGTAATAACTTGATAGCTGGAATACCTTAACCCCATTGGCAGTTCTAAAAGCTGACTCTCATACATTTCAAAATCCATAATTCTTTCTAAAGAGTTCGCTCAGTAGTCATAGAAAAGCCCTTTTTTTCTAGCATAGTTGGAAAGAAAATATGTTGTTTCAACAGAGGCTTTAAAATCCTGTTGAAACATGGATTTCCTGAAAACCTCAGGACTGCAACCAAATACACAAAGCTTTCCTGGGGCTACTTTCGAATTTATTCATCTCCCTTTAGAGGCTGTGCTATATGTACTTAATTCACACATTTGTTGTCTCATTCTGCCTGCTCCTACAACCATCCCCTTGTCCCCTTGCCGTTAGAAGTAAAAGTTACTGGCCATAATCCTATGCTGTTATATAAAGAAAATAACACTGCTCTAATCTAATGACATAATTAGCATCTGGCTAAGAAATGTAACAAAAATGTATCAGGAGTAAAATGGCAGGTGAAAGAAAGTTGGCCTTTCAGAATCTCAACTGAGAAATCTACAGAGAAAGAAGGGTGGGGTGGGGGAGAAGATTTAGCTTAATTGTTTATGATTATAGAATTAAAGAAATATCTCATAAGTACATCTTTGATGATGGCTTGAGAGTATGAAATTTTGTTGACTTCAACATTCCTAGAGATGTTCTCAGTGTGTGCCCCTTCTTTTCCTGAGCCACCAGGCTCTTGGGCATTATGGGGGCACAGGAGATGTTCCATTTAGCACACATTTTCAGGAATATCTTATCACCTATTACCAACAGCCTCAGGGTAAATTAATGTGATTAATTCACAATAAGATGTAAATGGCTGAAAACCACAGCATGTATATCTTTCTTCAAGAGATTATGCATTTTCAAAGACAATGCCTGGGAAGGTACTATCTTAAGTCAAAAAATGAATTTCAGCAACTGAAATTTAAATGCTATAGCAAAAGTGGGGGGTGGTAATTTGGAACCCAGGCTCTTGGTAAACATAGACAGGACTGATCAGTCTACCTACAAGCTACTACCTGCCTCTTATTTATTAGACCCTGTCTCTGTGGCTGATAACACATGAACTTACACAACATGCCTTATTGAAAATTTAATATGAAAAAAGGGACTTCCAGGTGGGCTCAATCTCCCCTCCCCTCAAATCTGAACTAGCCCGTGAAGCTCTGGCCAGTAGAGAGCAGCAGGTGATGCTGTGCCAAGTGAACAGGACTGGCAGCTTCCATCTCAGTCTATTCCACTCCCTTGGAGCCCTGAGCTGTCATGGAGAGCGAGAAGGACACAGTTGTGTGTGACCCTGCAGCCATTCCACCAACATGCCAGGAATATGGATGAAGCCACCTTGGATCTTTCGGCCCAGCCCAGCCTCTGGCCGAATATCACTGAGCCCAGGCCGTGCCACACGGCACAGAACTGCCTACCTGAGCCTGAGCCTAGATCAATGAGTGTTATTTAATAAAGGAAAAAGAACGACTGCTAAGGATAGCCCACAAGTCTGTGTTAAATGGGAACTAAACGACACTGAAAAAGAGATGTTGAGTCGTAGTGTGTGCTGGCCTGCCTCGGATAATTCTTGGTGTCTTTCCCCCCTTTCTCTCCCCCGCTTACGACACTTTCTTTCTCCGCTCAAAACTGTGAACCAAGAGGCAGGCATCACACCCCACTGCACTTTTGTATCTAGAACTCCGATCAGTATATACACTGCTTAGTCCTTTCTACCATGACCACCTGGACAAGAATGAAAGAGTAAACGGCAACCTCTCACCAAGGAAGAGAACGTCTCCAAGGGACACGTTGTGTTTGCCCGTACCTTTCTGTGCAATTAGACAAAATTCCTCCTGAAGCTTTGTGTAATCCGTTGAACTTTCCAGAGGGTCGGTGAGGTGGCTAGGGGGAGTCTGAAATTCGATATCTGCACAAAGGTTGGGGTTGGAGGAGTGCAGGCGGACTGGTGACATAGTAGCACTGAAAGGGACCTGAAAGGGGACACAGCACCAGTTAGGAAGAGCAACAGGACAGCAGCCCACATTCTCGTGCATAGGAAGGACGGCGTCCCCGCTCCAAAAGACTAGGTCCCTTTGGAATGACACTCAGTACTCGTTTAGTTGGCAGGTGGTTGGGGTGGGAAGAAGTCTCAGTTCTGAGAGTAGACCGAGTACTGCTGTGGGCTCACTGGCTTTTCCCTGTTACAGCGAGAGATGACTATAGGACGACAGGAAGGAAAGACAGAATCCCAGATAAGCTCCAGCTCTGAACCCACAGTTGGATCTCAAAAATCACTGGCAGGAAACAGTAGTTGGAACTCTCACAAAGTCTGGGTACTCGTGTCAGAGGACTTCTTATGCTCACTTGTTTCTGAGCCTGGAGCAGGAGATTACGGAACAGGTGAAAAAAATTCAAGGAAGATTTACTTGTTCCGTGGCCATTGGATAAAACATGAACAAGTTTAACAGTAAACATAGTCATGGCTTAAAGAGACTCAATTAAATATGAAATTGATTTATTAAAATATATTTGTAAATGAAATATACATGATATAAATTACTGTCGTTTACCTTTGTATGTTACATAAAACACTGTTACACATACAAACACGGCTTATGAAATGGCCAATATTGAAAAGCACTAAGTAAAAAAAGTCATATTACTATAGATTTTCCCAAATGGCTAGAGGTATTTTCTTGCCTGCACTGGATCTGGGCTAGTATTGTGATGGGTGGAGACAAAGCACTGTTCCCTCTCCTTCTAGAAGGTTACACCTGACCATTATAAATGGCATCAGCCAAACATTCTTGGAAAATGAGAATACCAATTCCTATTGTAAATCAGATTACCAGTAACCTCCCCTAATTCTTACTGCACAGATGTTCATTCAGTTATCTTCAAGAATCTCTCTTAGACTTCCTCCACAAGCTGAATTTTATATAAATTAAGGGGTAATTCACACCTTCCAGCTAGCAGGAAATACACTTGTCTGATGCAGATGTATATCAGAACCACTTCCTTTTTTTCCCCCCTATTTTGATAGAGCTTTAAACTTCCTGACAGAAGAAGAGAGAGCAAGTGGAGGAGGGGTGAGGAGGGAGGAAGAGGGAGATAGAAAGAGACAGGGAGGGCGCCTGGGTGGCTCAGTTGGTTGAGCGACTGCCTTCGGCTCAGGTCATGATCCTGGAGTCCCGGGATCGAGTCCCGTATCGGGCTCCCTGCTCAGCGGGGAGTCTGCTTCTCCCTCTGACCCTCCCCCCCTCTCATGTGCTCTCTCTCTCTCCCTCAAATAAATAAATAAAATCTTTAAAAAAAAAAAAAAGAAAGAGACAGGGAGAGAGACAGAGAGAGAGAGAGATAGAACAGGAAAAAGGAGCATGTACTTGCGTACTGAGGATACACAGGATAGATGGAGGAGATGGAGAGAGCTGGCTGACAAATCTAGGCCGAACGGCAGTTTATGGACCTGGGTAAGGGCAGTTGAGACTGGAGGGGGCCCTTTGGACATAGCTTTGTCATGGCAGTGGCAAGGAGTTATTATCTCAAAAGATATCCAAGATTTGCTGGGAAAGGCAGTGAGCATGAAGCTTTTCTACTTAAATTCAGCTAAGCTAAGCATGTTACTATATGATATCCAAAGCATCTGGTGTCTGGAATTATCAAGTAAGTCTATTTGGTCCTCCACAGGGACCTTGGCTACACTGAACTGGGACATGTCAACAACTTGTTTATCTCGTCAGGATCAGATTTTTTGGCTATTCTAGAAAAGAGACACAAAAGTGGCAGAGAAACCATTTGAGAAAACAAAGTCCTTGGGCTCAATAATGTGCTAGAATCCTGTCCAGGTAACTCTGTGGAATAATGACTGAGATCTTTTGGGGATGCCTATAAAGGATGTGGAAGAATATTTGAGGATAGACAAAGGGAATTTCTGACCTTACTGTGGTGATGCTAAATCTAGACAGAGCAGTGAGCCCTTAGCCTTTTGGGAGGGACACAGAGAATCCATGGGAAGGTTGTTGGAGATTAGGAAGTCATGGGGGGAAACTGTGACTTGAGGAAATGGGTGTATCAGGGAGTGTGCAGATTTAAGGATTTGATATGGTTTTCAGACACAAAAAATTAGAAGAGCATAAAAAGAAAGGGTGGGTGTGTGGTGATGGGGAATGTAATGTGTTGAGGATCATGGAAGAGGGTTTTGCCTGCACTCAGGTGCCCTCAACACTCCAAGGACTGGCATGAAGTAGGAGAGGAGGCAGGGAGGCTGGGGGAGGCCACGATGCAGTAGAGGCCCAGACATTCCAGTAAGCACCCAGACTTGTCCCTGAGATAATGGCCTGTCTATTAAAAGTTGCATTTGGATGCTGAGAAGAAAAACACATGTTACACATTTATTTTCTGAACATAATGAAGTTGAAATTGGCAATTAAAACAGTAAAACTGATCTTGTATATAACCCACAGGGAAAGGACTTGGAATGCTCCACTCAAACTGCAATCAGTTCCCTGGGCAATTGAACCCAGTTTTTATATACTTCTGACTGAAAATGTCTATATTGCTACCATTTTTGCTAAAAGAAGTATATGAAATGGGACATTTTAATTGAAGAATTCATGAAATGAAATTGAGAATATAAATTGAGAAGTATTAATCTAACTCTAATTGAATGCCTCTTCAGCATTCAATTAGAGTTATTTACTCAGTTTTTTGTTCATCAATTTGGGTATGATGGGATTCAAAAATTTAAGGGATAGCTAGGTCTTCTGTCAGTGATGGCTTAGGTGGGAGCTGTCTACAGGTCTCACTGTTTGCACTTGAGAATCCTGAATGTTGGATGCAGCCTTTACACCGTGCTCAGGAACGAAGTCCAAGGCTTCCCTGAAATCCTGTGCCAGGGAGGAAGCCTGATCTTGGAATATTCTGGTACTAATAACTGCAGTTTGGAATGGGGATGTTAGAAGGTGCTTTTAACACCTGTCTACAAAGAAGTTATAAGAGAAAAATGGATCAACATTGGAACTGTGGCACTGAAATTTAGCAATGGGGGGACGGGTTGGCCCAGTTATGGGTATTAAGGAGGGCACGTATTGCAATGAGCACTAGGTGTTATACACAAACAATGAATCATGGAACACTACATCAAAAACTAATGATGTACTGTATGGTGACTAATGTAACATAATAAATAAATTAAAAATAACAAATAAAAAAAAACATGAATGAGAAAGGGATACACAAAAGCAGGTCTAAGAGAGATACTAAGCATATACAACATATGGAGCCAATTTGAAAAGTCTCCTGCTGTAATTCCTCTGCGTTATGCGTACAGGGATCCTCGTGTAGAGAACTGATTGCACCGGGACCCTTGGTGTTCTTCTGTGGGGGCAGGGCCAGTGTGTCTCTTTTTCCAACCCCCTATTCTGTTGGGCCTGGCTGATGTTGCAAGTGAGCCATTTTGGGTTCTAGTGCTAAGAATCGAAAAGAATAAATCTCTGAAACATCTCCTTTGGGTGCATTTTTCTTTGGGAGCAGTCTCAGCTGCCCCAGATATTTGAGTCGGTCTCCTCCTCACTGGAGGAAAATAAGTAACTAGGAGTCATTTGCAATAATTCTAGGTAAAAGGCACCGAGCTGGAGAGGATAGGCTCAAAATGTATGGGAAACTTAGTGTTGGGAAGAAGGAAGGCAGGGGATTAAGAGGAACACTGCACCGGGAGAAATAGGGGGGCTGAGTCACCAGTGTCAGGTCACTTGAGATGTGAACGAGGGGTGAGGGGGCCGAGGGGGCAAGCTGAAGTTCCTGCTAGATGGTGTCATGCTTTGCTATGGAGTTAAAGCTATAAATCCTAAAGGGTTTAGAGTAACTATTCCCTCTAGTTATTAATGAATACATTACTAGATGCTGCCAACTTTCCTCATTAGATGCTTGGAATTATTGGAAGTTATTCTTAACTTCTGTGATCACTGCTACCCTGGGAGATAGGCATTCATACTCTCCTCTTTTAAAAGCTTTTTCTTTTCTACTTTCCATTAAAAAAAATATATATATATATATATAAACCCATTTTATTCAAATAGTTTCTAATCCCAGTTTTATTATATTCACTCTATGTATCTGCAATTAAAAAATGAACACAGTAGAAACACAATCGCTTCCCTGCATGCCTTCTAAGAAGTACATTATTTAAGGAAACATAGGTATTTTAACAAAATGACTGACCTTTCCTTTCCATACTGAGATACTGTTCTTTGATAATCATCTGGATTTCTGAATTTTATCAATGAAAGGTTAAGAACTACTTAACTAATTTTACATATATCTATTGGCATGACCAGTTACCATGGCAGTGTCATATATTATGCATACATGCATAAGAGAAACACTAATCATGATATCAATTTCATGAATTTGTTCAAATGTTCATAAAACTGTGAGTTTAAGAATCAATTCCCTTAATAAACTCCAAGTCACTGGTTCATTTCATAATCAAAAGCAATTTTCTCTCTCTCAAAAAAATCCAGCTAAGCAGCGAGATATAAAGCAAGGGCCAGTTATTAATCAAAAGTAGAAAACCAACAATCTTCTCATGAGTATCCATTCTCTTACAATGAAACCAAAACCTTTTTGTATTTTTCAGCAATTCTAGTCTTCAAGTATATTCCACCAGTAGCAAGAGCAAGACTATTGTTAATTCAGAAAATACTAATAGCCAAAAAAACTAACATCCATGATTGCTATGAACTTAGTATTCTGTATTTTAAAAAGTTGACAGGATGTCATGATTGAGCAAGTATTATGATTTGCTTTTATCCAGCAAAGGGTTCTTGCATTTACACATTCTATTTCCTATTCTGCATGCACCGTTCACTATTCTAAACAGCTTCTACTCAATTGAAAATTTTAGTTATTTGTCTTATCTGTTTCAATACTTGCCCTACCCTCCTAATAAACCTTAGCTATATATTAAACAGAATTTAACTTGGGGGTTTTCTCCTTTCCACACTACATATTTTCTGACTTTCAGCTCAATATTCTTTCCAGAAAATTTTTCCCTTGCTAGGTGTAATTTGGGTAGCCATTTAGAGATGACATCAAAATTCACCTTTTCTTACCCTCTCTTTTCTTTATTCTCACATCCTTTTCAAATAATCACAATACTACAAAAAAAGCACCATTTTTGTCTGTAGTAACATGACTTTTCTTAGAAAAACAGAAATCAGTTAGCAGAGGTCCCAATATCAGTATGACCAAAAAAAAAATTTATATATATATATATATATATATATATATATAATTTTAGGAAATTCCACACCATAGGGAGCCGTACTCAATTTTGCCACCTTGCATTTACATTATTTCTTACACCGACAGAAGAAGAACTGGGTTAGGGGGTCATTTTCCATTGCAAACACGAATACCCGTGCGCGACACCTGCCATGCAGAGACAGCCAGAGAACATGCGAAAGCTATGCCAGAAAGGGAGGGGGCTACAGTCAATGGCACCGCACACAAACGGCACCACGGGAACGGGGGAGGCGCCACTTGGACCCAGTTGCTCATTCTTATTAAATGTCCACTTGAGATTGAAATCCACTCACTGTTGTAGCCACTGCTGCCGCTAGCCTCTGCCGGCGCCGAGTGGTGCTGAACTGTCCCTTCACAGACGGCCCTTCCTGACAGTGAATGAGAGAAGAGGAGGGAGGAGAGAAGCAGGGGCCGGGGAGGGGGAGGACAGGATGCGGGAGGACAAAAGATAATCAGACAAGGGAAAGGGAGAGTTTTAAGTGGAGTTGACTTTTCCCTCAATCACAGCATTGAAAAGTGCTCGAAGGGGCGTTCACGCTGGGAGAAGAGCTCACTGTCCTCATTGCAGAACCCCCAGACACGTACGTCTAGTTGCTGAATATGACCCCACCCCAAAAGGAGATGGGAAGTCATGAATTGATGAATAATAGCTTGTGATCTTAAAGTAAAATAAAGGTGCATATCGTTTTCTTCATGTTATATGAAATCAAAGGCATTCAATCAATGGAAGCAAAGATAAAAGTAAGTTCGGGAAAAATGATTAAATAATGTGCAAAGGCTAAAACAAACAAGTTGTAATGGGAGTCTCCCGTTAGCCAGGCAGAATTTTTTTCTTTCTTGCTGGGAGGAAAAGTACAGGGGAAAGGGTACCAGGAATCTTCAACGTCCCATTTATTTACCTGCTAGAAAGCTCTCTGGGATTCAACATTAGGAATGGTGTTGGGATTTTCAGGTTGGAGAATTCTCCAAGGCGGAAACCAGTCCGCATAGCATAGGGGAAAAAGCATTCAGTGTCCTCAGTGTGTTGGGACAATGCCTGCAAAAAGCAGCTAGGGAACCCTGAAGGCAGAGGCTTCATATAATGATGTGCACCTATGCATAAACCAGCAGAGAAGCCGAGAGCTTTCTTTTTTGTCTCTTTTTGGTGGACGGGATCATGGGATAATGATATTTCCTTCTAACTACTCAAGTTTACGTCTGTCCATGTGACAGACCCTCGCTCTTCGTGGTTGTGAACGGTAAGTTCAATTCCAATGAACTGAGATGTACATAGGGTCACCTAACAGTGGAGATTAAGCAAAAGCAGCATGACTGCTTTAGTCTTTTTGGAACAACAGAAAAATATTTTAAATTCTTATAACTCCAATTCTCTTCAAAGTTTCCCCATTACATTCACATTTTTCTTCCATGTTCATAAGTCTTCTGCATGCATTATATGTTTATTGTACACACACACATATATACAATGTGTTTTCTACAAAAAGTTTTCTAAACAAAATCCCTTCATGCTTAATGCAGTAAGTTAAAGGAGAAAGAACTTATTTTTGCCCTTCAGTATAATTTGAGCATCTGTGAGATCTAGAACAGCTACACAGGAATGATATCTGACCATGTATCTGCTATTCCCTGCTTTCTGCTATTGCTCATTCTCTCCAACAACTAGGGTTCTAGTATTAATTTGTGCTATTAGTCTTGTAGGAAACCTAGTAGCTCTCTCATTCATAGCAACCCTTTCCACAATCATTCCCTTCTTGCCCTCCTTTACCTCACTGGAAACACAGTCCAACGGTTACTGTGTAATGATGATAATGAGATTGTTATTAGAACCAGAAATTTGAAGTTTGGGAGAAAGTCCTTTTTTTCTAAAAGGTACTCTCCAGAGAGCTTTCTGGGACAAATGCCTTCAATGAATTACACAAAGGATTTTTTAAGCTAGTTTCTCAATGGTTTCTAGTAGGAATATGACCATGTGGCTCTAAAATGTAACCTTCATATTCAAATCAATAGCACAATCTAACCGATGTTAAGAATAAGATACCAAACATATAGAATAACATGATCTTCATTTCTATTCTCCTGAAGTCAATTTTTTAAAGGACCCATTTTATAATTATTTCAAAATAACAACTACTGCAGAATGCCAGATGCACAGCTCAGTGAAACGGTATCATTAAGAACAGGAACACGAACCACCACGACCACCACAGGACAGCCTGGGTGCCTCCACAAATGACTGGTGGAACTCCAAGTTACCAACAACAGAAGGGATGAACCATGAGCCCGCTCACTACAATGCCTCTCAAATTGGCTGCAACAGTGACGGTGGAGAAGGTGGCTCAAGTAGTGAGACGATTATGGGCTCAAAACAAATACTTGGCACCCTCTGATGGGGTTCCAATGGTCAAGGAGGGAAAAACCCAGGTATTAGGGTGGGAGAACGGAGGAGGTAGGTTTAATCCACTAAATAAAAATAAATGCTATGCCTTTCTGTAAGGAAAATAATAATGAGTAAAGACATTTATATTGGCCATAGGCATCCCTGGCTGATTGTATGGACCCCCAGCCAAGTGTGCATGTTGAAGAAACTTCCAAGTAACTTCCCAGTGATAAAGAATGAGCATCTTAAGGGCTCTGAGAAGGCCTGTTGGTTTGGGTGAGCAGAAAAGGTGCAGGGATAGTACCAAATTCTGCAGGATTCACCCTACAATACCTTTTGTTTTACCAGTCTAAGTGGAAGCAGGGTTTCTCTGGGAGTAATAAGTAGTTCACCGCCACCCCCAAGTCTATTGATTTCCACTTGGAGGTAGAACTAAATCTCTCTTGCAAAAGTTTAAAGTTTTCTTTGAGTGTGGGGAATAGGTGATTTCAATTTCCCTCAAAAATAATTAAACTAGAATCACAAAGGCCATATTGTTACTCTTTGGCAAAAAAAAAAAAAAAAGTGCAAAACAGCATCAATAAAAATTTAAAAACAAACTACCCAAATATGTGGCAAAAGTATGAATGAAAAATATTTTCCTGTTTTTTGAACAATTTCTTCTGATGACTCAAAAAAATCTTCATAAACCTTCTCATATAGAAAAGCAAGCCTATGACTAGAAGGGCTATTCTAGCTGCATTCTGTTTCCTCTGGAAAAAAATGGAGCGATATGAGGGCCACGGTGGGCCTTGTAGCCCCAGCAGGCCGGCCAGGGGCACCGTGCTCACATTTTCTGAGGAGAAACCAACCTGTTCGAGACAACAGCTGTGAATGGCAATCTGTTCAGGGTCATACCTTAGAAAAATGAGACTGAAAGAATATCTGTCTACAAATGTATATGTTCTTATGACATTGGCTGCCTTCAATTATTTTTATAATATTTTTTTTTCTTGGCTATGATAACCATAGATATCATGTTTTAAAAAGCCCCACAAAACTAGACAATCACATGCCCCGAACAAATGAAATGGCCCAAAGCACTTTTAGGTAAATTTTTTGTGAAGTCATTTGGCACATTTGTCTCTGTAGTATTAATGTTCTGAATAGAAGAGAACACACAAAAACATAGCTACTGAAGGAACACTATAAATTGTGTTCATAGAATGTAGACATCCTAACCAGAAAAACATGAATCTTTAGCGTTTATGAAATTTATTTTCAAATATATCAGTTAGCAAGCAAAGCAAAACAACAAGGAGTTTGTTATTTACACATTCAGAATTACAACACAAAGAATATCAATACAATCAGAATGAAGGAGTTCTTATTTCTTCAGAGAACACTGAAGAATTCTGGAAAATAGTTACTTTTACCTTTGTATTAGAATATAAATTGATTTATAGTGTAATAAAAAGAAAAGCAAAATCCTAAGTTTGATTTTGATTGTGCAGGGCAAGAGTTTTTCTTTTTAATAATATATAGCTAGGATCAGAATAGTAAACATTCTTGTTTAAAGATCTGAAAGTAATATGATTTATGGCATAAGAGGTTTCAGGCACTTACCATATTTCATGTCATTGCAATGCACTAACAACCTAAGATGCTCTTACTCTAAAAATTTAAAACTACTCATTTCAAATAAATAACTTATTTAAAATAAATTTCAAGTAAATTTATCATGAGTCATTAAGACTTTCATAATTCAGATTTTAAAAGTGATCCTTGATGGCCAAATTATATCTATTTTTGAAGAATCATAGAATTTTACAACTGAAAGGGAATTCAGAGATCATTAAATTAATTCCATGACTTTACCCAGGAGCAAATGGAAGCCTAGAAAATTTAACAGAAATGCACAAGATTATACTGCCAGGAAATCACAGTTGATTAGCCTAGAACCTGAGTTTGCCGACTTCGAATCTTTTGCAGCCCTCATGTCTTTTTATTGATATATAAAATTTTGAACAAAGCTACTACAGAAAAGGCTCTTTTAAGATCTAGTACATATAAATGAGTGCTCATTACAACACACTGGATTTTTAGCCTGATTTTTAAGCTAATTTTTTGTTAAATTATATTTTAACAGTTCAACGGTGGTAAGTGAGAATGAAAATGCTACTTTGTAGCCATATTAAATAATTTTAACCTTTCTTTTAAATTATTTTTACTTATTCCAGAGGAAGAAGAGTAGATTCCCCCCAAATTTAGATAGTACAACTCAGTCTATAAAACACAGGCTTTAAAGCAGGTCAGCTGCTTTAGACTCCTTAACCTCCACCAATTGATATATAAAGACTAATATCTTAAAAGCATATAAAAATATGAATGAAGGAAAAAAGTCTGTACCTGCAGTTGTATTTTTGTATCTTTGCTGACACTTTTTGTTCTCCATCTTCTTGTGACCCGCTTGTCTTTCTTTGAAATATCTACACAGTTAGCCTACATTACACAAATAGTTAAAAGCAACAAGTATTATTAAGTTCACACACATGTTATGGATATAGACAAAGAGCACAGCAAGTTAGTAAAGAGTCGTCGTTAGCCACCTAAAGCACACCAGCCAGGAGGGAAAGTCGTATCTGATGCACAGTGGACATCAAAAGCAGAAATAAGAACTTAGTCATAAAATATATTTGTCTGCTATACAAAAGGAAAACAGGATTAGAGATTTTTAGCATTCTTTTTTCCTACATAAAAAGATGACCGTGGGGCTCCTAGGTGGCTCAGTGGGTTGAGCGGCTGACTCTTGATTTCAGCTCAGGTCATGATCTCAGGGTCGTGAGATCCAGCCCCAAGGACAGGCTCCATGCTCCATGCTCAGCTTGGGATTCTCTCTCTCCTCCTACTTCTGCCCCTCCCTCCACTCGCACGTGTGTGTGTGTGTGTGTGTGTGTGCGCGCGCGCACGCGGCTCTCTCAAACAAATCTTTAAAAAAAAAATGGCAGTAATTCTGAGAGTATCTAAGTTATATCTTCAAAGTATCTATCTATCTATCTATCTATCTATCTATCTATCTATCTATATCTAAATTATATCTTCAGAGCTATCATTTCTAATGCAATACAAACATGGAAGAATAATTCAGATATTTATTTCTATTAGTTTACACTTAAATGTAAAATATTTCAAAATAGACATCTTAACACAATGACACCAGAAATTCAAAAATATTAAGAAAAACTCCAGAATATAAACTAATCTGTGTTGTAGTTATTTCCCTTTAAATGTTACCTTATATATTCATAAAACAATCCAGTAAAAATTCTGCATTAATGTCTTAATGTCCTCTCGGTAATGTTTACCTGCATGTCAGTAAAGTTAGGTGCTGACTGAGTTCTCTGAAGTATTTCCAAATTTTGCAGGAGTTTGCTAAGTTCCACAAGGTTTGACTGGCAGTGTGCAAGATCTAAGAAAAATCAGAAAGAAAAAATAGGTTAGAACTGGGCAGGGACAGGCAGTGATGGTAATAAAAGACAGTCAATCCCAATTATGGCAAGTATGATTAGGTATATCCATGTTTATATAATGGTGGTACTGGCAAATGAAACAAAACAGACCCTTCTCTGGTTTAGAACCTTAAAAGCATTGATTATTTAATGAGTTGAAAGCCTACTTACAAATTAACAGCTAGCTATTACAATCTCAGTGACATTGTGCACTCTCGCTTTCCTGTTCTGGTGGCCCTTGGCACATAGAAACCACACTCAAGGGAACTTCAGTAGTTTTATGGTTTTATTCTTAGGAACCTGTCCATCTACTCCTAAAATAGTTTACAAGGTGGCTGCTTAGAATTTGGATGGAGTCAAAGTCAAGTTCAGAAAAATAAGATGGATTGCAAAGTCAGATAGATACATTTATCTATGATTTCAATCACTAACAATGTTGCAATGAATGATTTCTTTAAAATTTATGAGGGATGGGGTGCCTGGGTGGCTCAGTCATTAAGCGTCTGCCTTCAGCTCAGGTCATGATCCCAGGGTCCTGGGATCGAGCCCTTGAGTCAGGCTTCCTGCTCAGTGGGGAGCCTGCTTCTCCCCTTCCCTCTGCCCCTCCCCCCCACCTTGTGCAGGCCCGCGCGCCCACGCGCACTCTCTCTCAAATAAATAAATAAAATCTTTAAAAAAAAAAATCTATGAGGGATGTTCTACTAAACACAACCAAAGATTCTCAGAGTATGTTCCCTGGCCCAGCATGATCAGAGTCACCTGGGCATGAAACATATCCTGTTTGAATTGTTTCATGAAGAAATGGCTTTTAATTTTATTTTTAATTTTTAGCTGTATTTGAACAAAAGAGAATTTTTAAAGATTTGTATAATAAAATATCACTCTTAAAAACTGACTCTTAGTAAATGAAAATTAAATATAGTCAAGAATATTGAGTTAGTAGTATCACTCACACAATTATCAAATATTTAGAACATGCCAGTAGTCATGTGATTACTTTTGCATGTGTATTGTTTATAAAGAGACTGCAATAGGGCACGTCTATAAATGTGTTATATAATAAGGTGGTTACAATATGTGGTGAGTTGGTGAAAATTTCATTTATATTATTTCTGTTTCTCATTAAATCTCAAGGATCTGAATTTTTACAGATACAGTATAGGCAGCAAAATATTGTTGTTAAATATGGCTAGGGGCTCCTGGGTGGCTCAGTTGGTTAAGTGGGGCCGACTCTTGGTTTTGGCTCAGGTCATGATCTCAGGGACCTGGGATCGAGCCCCACGTCAGGCTCCGTGCTCAGCGGGGAGTCTGCTTTTGGATTCTCTCTCCCTCTCCTTCTGCCCCTCCCCCTGACCATGCTATCTCTCTCTCAAATCAATCAATCAATCTTTAAATATGGCTAAAGATAAGCTGGGCCAAATAACATAGGTAGTTGCATCTCAGGGATTTTTGACTTTTTGACTTTTTCGTGGGATATAAAAACAGAGGAGGAACTGCTACAAGGGTCGTTCCAGGACTGCCAATCACTGCATGCTCTATGGAGAACAGGGTAGCAGCAATTTTAGGGCCAGGCCATATCCAGGTCCCCCCTCTTCTCTACAGCATCTGCCTCAGGATGGAGTCCGGGTGGGCTGTTCAAGCGCTACTGCTGTTCTTCCAAGAACTGTTGGCCGTCAGTGGCCATTCCTTCAGAAAGGAACCCAGTGGAGGTGGGAGGAGAGCACTGATGAAGACAGCCCTGCCACCACCCCCTCCACCTTCAGGGGAGGCCATGCCCTGGTGTCCCCATCCTCTTCCCTAAGAAAACAAAGTCAAGTGGCTCAGGAGGGTAGAAAATACAGAGGATGAAAGGAAAGTTAGGAGGGAAGAAAGTAGTACAAAGAAGGAAGGAGGGTTAGAGGGAAGAGGAGGAGGGACATGGGCTAGCTAGAAAGGGCCTACCTTTTAATTTGCATATTATTATTATTATTATTTTAGAGAGAGACAGCAGGCGCATGCATGATTGGGGGAGGGGGAGGTGCAGGCGGAAAGGGGGAAAGAGAATCTTAAGCAGGCGCCACACCTGACCTCTGAGATCATGACCTGAGCCAAAATGAAGAGTCAGCCACTTAGCCCAAGAGCCTTGCAGATGCCCCTTAATTTGCATTTGAAAGAACAAAACTGTGTCATAAGTACCACGCTAATAGGGACATTATTTCACATTACCCATGCATCAAGCCTTCTATCTCGTGCCTATTACATTCATGCTTCCTAATAAGTGTGACTAACGTACACAAATGGTGTACGCAGGTAGCACAGCAATCTGGAAACGAGGCTTCGAACCGTCACAGTAATATCCACCCTTTTCCTAACAGAATGGAAAGAGAACATCGTAAATGAACTTGTTCAAGAGCAAAAGACCTAAAGTTAAGAGTCAGGAGACAAGGACTGACTTTGCATTTCCTGGTGACATTAGGATATGCCTCTCTTCCCTTCCCAGCTTAGAGTAGCAACTGAGATGGTAGATGAGGAAACTCTGTGAGTATGGGCCGTACCATGTGTAATCACCTTCCCTTGGAGCAAGCCACACCCGTCCCCACCACTTCTATTGCTTGAAACGTGGAAGAGATGAAATCCTGGGCAGGACTTCACTGCCTGCCTAAGTGTCTAAATGTACATAAGGATTCTAAAGACTTGCCAAAGGCAACAAAAAGATCTTTAAAAAAAAGAAATCTCTAGAATTTCTTTAAATTAAGATGAAATCTAGTTTTAGAGATGCAGAAAAAGGAAAAACTGCTGAGATAGTTCAGAATGGTGAACAGTTAAAAACAAATCTAACAATTTACTTTTTTTCCCATCATGCCCTATCTTGTTCCAGAAAGAAATGAGTCGTCCAACTGTGGAATGGTTAAATAAATTAGGGTATATCCAAAGTTATCCATTTATTATTTCATTTAGGTACCACTGATGGAAGATGCTGTGTACCCAGGTTAATTCTAAGTACAGGGATTATCACAACCAAGTAAGATTCATGGAATTTACATCCTGGAAAAAAAATGCAAACATGTTGTATGTTAAACAATCATGTATCCATCTTCAAAGTGGCATACACAATACTAATTTAACATTTTGTCTCCATGGGAGCCAAGCAATTCCCTTGCATACTTGAGAAGATCTGGACTGATGTAAGTTCAGATCTATGAATGGTTCGCCACCTTGGGTATTAAAACTATAAATCAGATATGCTATGAGTTCAAGAAGATGCTACATGATGAACTTCTGAAATACAAACCTCAATAGTGAGAACTCTCTATACAATGATCAGGAGACACCAAAGAAAAGGGTCATGGGAGTCTGGAAAATAGACTTATCATGGTTTGAAGTCATCAGAGCACACTCAAAGGAGAGAGTAAAATCTTTTCTGGGTCTGGAGGATTGATGGAAAGGATTCAGCAAAAGAGAAAGGTGGAGAAGGGCAGAGAGGGAAAGAACCACCTGTGTGAAAGCACAGACAAGGGGATATGCAAGGATGTTCAGAAAACAGCAAATACGTTCAGTGGGGCCAACGGAAAGCAAGGTTGAAAGGGCAGGTAGGGCCCAAAAGCTGAAAGGCGGATGTTGAGTACCGGGCTAAGTAGTCTGGGCTAAAGCCGCAGAGCCCACGGAGAACCATGTGAAGGGAATTTTGCATAAAAGCTACTTAAGGAAATATCAGTGGACAAAGAGCTGGCTTTGGGGTTAGTCAAACATCTCCCCCAGGGCGGCTGTGCAATCCTGGGCACATTCCTTACCCTGCGCGCATTTTGCTTTCCTCATCTGCAAAGTGGGGAGGAGTGATGCCTACGCCTGGTGGCCAAGTGCAGCGTCCTGCTAATTGCTGGCCCAGAGCTGCCCACACGGTCAAGAACAGCAAGGCCCCACGAGCCTGTGAGAGATGGAGCAGCAGAGCAAGAGGCTGAGGATGAGAATGCCAGCCAGAGGCTGCTGACCCACCAGAGCCTGGGTCTGATTGGGCGGCAGACACTTGAGAGGAAGGGCAGATGAGGGTGTGGGTGTTTTCGGAAAAATAACAGAACTCTGTCGCGGCTAGATGAACAACAGCGTTGGGGAGGGGCGGCGGTCAAAGATCCTCTGAGGTCTCAGGGGTGGTCAGGACAGCAGCAGTGACAAAAACAGGGAAACTTCGCAGCTGGGGCCACTTCAGGGAGGAGACAGGCTGGTTTCAGGCAGGCCGAGGAGGGGGCGCGCCAGAGAGTACAGACCGACAGGGCCAACAGCAAGGAGTGGCGGTGGGGAGGCTGCCCAGGCTGCACGTGGAGCTGAGATTTAGACAGCTTTCAGTCTTTTTGTGAGGAATACGGGGCATATACTCTGGAGCCAGACTGCCCACACCTGAACCCCAGGTCCACTGCTGCAAGTGGGTGAACTTGGGTCGGAGCAAGTTGATTTCCCTGTACCTAAGTTTTCTCACCTGTAAAATGGCTTTGAGAGGACTGAATGAGTCGCTGCATATGAGACACCCACAAGAGTTCCTGTCGCAGAGTGCCCGATGCCTATTAGCCGCCGCTGCCCCCGCCCGCCCCGTCATCTCCATCACTGCTGTATCATCAAACAGAGATTTTCTGAGTTGGAACTACGACCACACCTGTCATCTCTGAAGCACAGAGCACAGTCATTAGAATCTAGTTGGCCTGGGTTAGCCCTCCAGCTCTGCCAAGTATTTGCTGTGTAACATGAGCTAGTTATTTGACCTAAGTATTGGTCTGCCTGTCTTTAAAAATAGGGTTCATAATCCTGTCTGGTGCTCCTGTGAAGATCTACAGAGAACCATACATGTAAAGCGCTCAGTTCAATGTCTGGCTCATTATGAGCACACAGTCAACTACAGTCACTGTTATGGAAGCCGAAGGCAGAAGACTCAAGCTTGGTCATCCCCACAGCCAAGGCGACCAGATGCGAATCCAATGAAACAGCGGGGGAGCAGCTGGAGAAAAAAGGAAAACTTCATGGGGCCTAAGGGAGAAGTCTCATTCGAGAAGGGGCCCCAGGGCAGGTCAGAGGATGAGGTCTGAGGACCGAGTGGAAATCGAACAGTGCCTTGCTACCAAGAATGCCTTTTTCATAGAGCAGAAAGGGCAAACATCAAATTATGGAGAGAAGCTGGAGTCTAGGGGCAGAAGTGAATGAAAGAGAGAGGCTGTCCCCGGGCGAAGGGGGTAATTATTGCACTAACTGCTGAAGGAGATGGGAAGTCAGGACAGAGGACACGGGTAGAGCAGTCAGGATGGGGAGAAGAAGGAGCACCCCTGACACAGGACAGCAGCAGGCACAAAGGATGGGCCACAGAGTAGTCTGAAGCACACGGAGACAAAAGCCACCCTCGCTCCCCCACCAGCCAGGGGCGCCAACGTCTCTTCATTTGGGTCAGAAGAATGGATTTTGTCCCGGTGTGTGGTCCCAAACCTGCTCCATGCCGCGGGTGTGTGGACGGCGGCAGAAGTCAGAGGACAGGCTGAACTGTCGAGGACCGCTGCTAGGGTGAAACTGTGGCATTTTAGGAAAGCGAGGCCCAGCTTCTTTCCCCAACCTGAAGTTCACGTACTCGAATGTCTGCATGTTGTGTGAATACGTTCAAGTAAAACCCTTTTAATGGAATGGCAGATTTATGCATAGAACATCCCTCTTAAAATCATATTTTCACACAAAGATTGAGTTTGGGATGTGGCAAGGACTAAGCAAAATGCTGTAGACTTTGAGTTCATGCACATGCAGAGCAAAAAAAAATATTTTTTGTGGTTGGGATCAACATGTATTGCCCAATTTCAATGTTTCTTTTATTTATTTATTAAAATTTTATTTCTTTGAGAGAGAGAGAGAGAGAGAGAGAAGCATACAAGCAGGGGCAGAGGGAGAGGGAGAAGAAGACTGCCCCGCTGAGCAGAGAGCCCGATGTGGGACTCGATCCCAGGACCCCGGGACCATGACCTGAGCCGAAGGCAGACACTTAACCGACTGAGCCACTTAGGTGCCCCGCAATTTCAATTTTTTAAACTAAGGACATAAGAAAATACTCTAACATCTACTTTCACCATCATCTCATAAAGGAAAAAAAATTTAATAAAAATAAGTTAGGCCCAATATCTTCACAAAATAACTTAAAAAATTAAATCAATGTAGCATTATCAAATACTTGCTATGCTATCCTTGTTTTCTCAGTTTTGAAGGTCAAAGGAAAACTAGCTCCTAGAATGGACATGGTCCGTGGCCGTTTGGACCAAAATGCTCGGGCTAATTATGAGGGAGCAGCAAAGTTTCTAGAGAGTAAGAGGCTCAGCGAGGGCAGGGTGAGGACATTGTGTCTAAGTTCAGAATATTTAACAACGGACACAGAGTGCAACACCAGTAACAGGGAACTGTGGAGAGCAGGTGCCACATCATTGATCGGCTTATTGTGGGCCGTCAGGAGAAACACACTTATTCAAGGGCAAGATGTAGCAGCAGGAGAGGCAGCTGGAGAAGGGACCCGGCAACAGTGGAGATCCAGGGTGGGGGCGCTCTGGGGGCTGCGCTTGGCCTTGAGATCCCCCGCCCGCAGGGCCTGGGGAGTGGGGGGCTCATGAAGAAAGAAGGGAGCAGGTGGTGAGGTGAGCCGGCAGGGCAGAAGGGGGTGCAGGGCAGGGGAAGGGTGGAAGCAGCCGCAGCAGGGGTAAGGGTGCGGGAGAAGGTATAGGTAGGAGGCAGCTGGGGTCACAGGAAGGGGCAGGGTCTGGTGTGGAACAGTAAGAAGAAGGAAAGATGGAGGCTCGAGGAGGCTCGAGGAGGCTGGAGGGGGCGAGGTGCAGCGGCCACGATTCACTGCTCTCCTTTCTGTTTCGTCCGTCGGCTTCTCCTGGGAGCCCAGCGGGGGCGAGAACTAACCTTCGGCACACCTGTCCATTTCTTCCGAGTCCTGTAACCAGGCTGCCACTTTGCTCTGGCCCGTCGTGCAGGTTGCAGGGAGGCTGTTGCTGCACGGCAAAGGGGACTGCCACGGAAAGCTGTTTGGTGGCACCTACAATGAACAAAGGGGAGTGTACGGGTGAGCAGAAACAGTATATTTAAGTGAGTTTTAAAATTTTTATTAAAAAGTGACATCAGAAAAGAGAGGAAGAAAGGGCACACTCGAAATACAAAAGAAGCCTCTAGGCTAAACTTGTCCATGCTCAGCGAAGCCCAAGTTCATAAAGAGTAACACTCATTAAGTGGCTATCTCCACCATGCAAGGAAGGGGACAACACTTAAGTATGGGATAGCTCATACTCTTAAGGGCCTGCCAGCTCAAGGGGTTCAAGTTGCTCAGTGGGTTGTATCTGACATAGGGTCCTTATGCTACTTTTAACTCATGATTGAAGGCCTTTCCTTCCCAAAAGCTCTCTGTTCCCTTACTGTCAGCTCAAGGCCCCGTCAGCCACATGTGATTCCTAAATACATTACCCACCATCAAGCAACCTTGCAATGCTTTAAATGCATATTAAAAATTGTAATATATAAAAAGGCATTCTCAGCAAATTATTATTACCCACAGCTGACAGACTTTCCAGTAAAGGGAATTTATGTGAAATAAAGTTGCAGGAGGTAAGGAGATAATGCAGTGAGTTCAGTGAACACTTAGCTGAAAGAGCAGAAGCTTACTTCTGAAAAAGCTGAAACAACTTTAAAACTCCATATTTGGCTTTCATATTCAATTATAATTGATCGTGTCTATTCTAAATCATCACGAAGCGAATGATACACATATTTAGCAAACCCAGACTTATTTATTACCCATGCAAGGCCACAAACCAATTAGCATTCAGGAGTCTCATAATTTCATACTTAGAATGCAACGCAAGGGATAAAAAGCTCTCTTCACTCTTTATTGCATTTTGCGAAATGTAATGGAAATCTTTCACCAAGTTTGATCTTAGAGGTGTGTCATTCATAACTACAGCAATAGATCTACGAAAACCAGAGTTGAAGGGCTTTCCTATTCCGAGGCAAACAGTGGGGAGGAATTGGTTTCAGTTCTCCATTCTCTTTGGCCATCACCCAAGTTATTTAATAAATAACACAAGGGATGAAAATAATGTATCTTTTATCAATAGTCTATGCCCAAGATGCAGGCAGAAGCAGAACCAAAGGATGAAACATTCCTATTTTTAAAATATCTATCTGGAATATATTTCTTATTTAGCTGGGATGAATCCTGGGATTCATTCTATTCTGTGGCGAGAACACAGGGGGCCCAGAGAAACCAGAGGACGATCTTAGTCATCTTGTGTTGGGTCCCTCAGTAAGTGCCCTATTTCCTACCCTCTGACCTCCTGGTTCCTCCTTTTTCACTTCAGAACTGGTTAGTATTAGGGCTAAACCAATACCCTGTTCCTAGGAGGAGGACGTTGGTTGAACAATCCTTGGCAAGGCTATAACCAGAATGAAATAAGGTTTGAGAGCCTTGCAAAATACAATTAATGGGATTTAACAAAAACTACTTAAGTAACTTCCATTGAAATACTAAATAGTAAATACAGTAGTATTTAATTTAATCTGATTTGACTTATCTTGCAGATTCCATGAGGTTTTTCAATATTATGCTAAGGAAACTTGGAAATATACATATCCCTAAGTAAGAAAACAGAGATAAGCAGAATCTTCACCAAAAGGTTCTTAAACCCATCTCCTGATGGCAGCCAGTTATTCACAGATGTCTGTGTTCTCAGTGTGTCAGGTGCCAAGTGGGAGCTTGGGGAACACCCCTGAGCACCGCAATGTGGCTATGGTTTGGAAAACTTAATTACTGAAACAACAGTCCCCCTGCCTCTTGTCTTCACCTTGGTTTTTAACAGGCAACACCTCTAGCTTTTTAGCCGCATAAAAAGATGAACTCTTAATACAGCCCAAAGAACAACTTCAGCCTCCCTTAATCTGGGACTTGGTATAATGGGAAGGGCATGGATTTTGGAAACAGAGAGATGAGGATTCAGATTCTGGCTTGGCTGTTTAATGGCCATGTCACTTCTGAAAACATTTTTTTTTTTTTTTTTTTTACTATCTCTGAGCTTGGGCTCTATTAAAGATTAGAGATGAGTGAATGTCAAATGCTTAACACAGTGCCTAGTCATTTAAATGGTCTACTATGTATATTATGGTCACATTCTCTAGCCAATTTACCTTAACTTCATGGGGAAATTCAATGGTCTCTCTCTGGGTCATGTATATATTATAGTTCAAGGCAAGGAAGCAAGTTCATTTTTAAAACTTTGTGGTCTCGGGGGTATAGCTCAGGGGTAGAGCATTTGACTGCATTTTTAAAACTTTGTGGTCTTATTATTATGACCCAGGAAGATACCAATTTCTAGGTGCTGCTTAGCCAAATGTTCACTCTACATCCTAATATCCCTACAAAGTCATATAAAATTAGGATGTAGTCCATTCATAGGAAGGAAAAGTAACTGTTAATTCTCTTGGTGATCCACATTTCTACCTAATCTATACTTGTGATTAACTCTGATGCCCAATGTCACTACTGTCTTGAAAGCATACCCTCCCAAGCAATTTCTGGGCTGATTTTCATATAACAAAGTCATACCTTTCCATCCACAACAGAAACGTTAGCAGCTGGTGAGGATTCAGCTGTGGAGGTTGAAGGAAATATGTGAAAACTAGCATCTCTTGGTGACCTGACAATTTCATTCTGCCGATATAATCGATGATGACGCAGTTTGGAGACCCATGCATCAAACCAGTCCTGGGATTTCACCTAAAACAAAAAACAAGAGGAGATCCTAAGGGTGAAACCCATCTCTGGTTTACCACTGACACAGGCAAGTGAATTCCCCTGATAGTGGCAGAGAAACTGTTCTCTATTCTCAAACTACTGAAAAATGACTTTACCTTCAAATGATAGATGTGCTCTTCTGTGTCAAGGTCTATTCTCCGAGCTTTCTTTTTAATTGACATGACCGAGAGTCCGACATCGATGCTTCCATGGACCTTCCCCTTTTGAATCTGAAGTCAGAAGACTAGTAAATAGGCTAGAAGGATATAGGATTTTCTGTGTTTCTGTACTGAAGTGAGTGTAATGTAATCTTTACTTTATCTATGGGAGATGGACTACCACACCTCCTTTACAAAGAGAATATGATTAAGGTCCTTAATCTGAGGACAGCTGAATTTGCTGTGACTTCCCACCAATTTCAATAAATAAGACTATTCATTTCTTTTTTTTTTTTAAGTTTACTTGTTTTTAGGAATCTTTACACCCAATGTGGGGCTTGAACTCACGACCCCAAGATCAAGAGCCACTTGCCCTACCAACTGAGCCAGCCAGGTGCCCCAAGACTATTTGTTTCTTAGTCCTGTTTCTGGCATAATTTATAATGCTAACCTTCATAATTCTAGATTGCACAGCTTATATCCCAAAAAAAGATATGTTTAGTGGTTCCTAAAATAACCACGGTCAATCTTTGACCCACAACCCAGAACATTCCCCAAGTAATCAGCCAGAAGCCAGCTGCTGAGGCCAAGCTGGGCAGTGGGGACTGAGAGCACAGAGTAACCAGTGCTTCCTCTGCTTGCCCTTGTCTGATCAAGGACACACCGCTGATTCGATGAAAGAGGTGGGGACAAAACAGAAACCTGAGTTATTTCCCTCTGCCACACTGACAAGGCAGGTGGCATCTTCCAGTTTTACATGCAAACAACTACTTCTTCAAGAAAAATAATTTGCAATGATGTTAGTGAGTTAGGATTCCCAAGAGAAAAGGATGCATGAAACAGAAATGAAGTTCGTAAGTTTTAAAAGGATACAGATAAGAACAAAGGTTGCTTTCAATCTCAAAAAAAAAAAAGCACAGAAAGCATAGCTTATTGAGAGATGCAGGAAAAAAAGTCTATTTGGGTTTTCTCTCCAAGACAGAAGGGGTCATTTTATTAGTGTATCACTTGTAGGTTTAACCTTCTGTTCTTAACGACATCCATCACAATCGCTAAATGAAATCTTCATGCTCCAGTTAGAGATTTTTATGCTAGCATGAGCATAAGCATAAAACACACCTTGCCCGGAACATGGAAGTCTGGTAGCTTGTTACATCTTACAAATGCACACAAATGCACAAAGCTGGTAACTACGTCACAAGGCTTGCACAACAGTGGTGTTTACTCACTTTAAAACTATCTTTGAAACATGTCCTGCGTGCTACTTACATCAAGTGGTGCCTTTGAATACTTTAACATTCCATTATCCAGGACAAAAAAACGCTGCAAGAACCAAACAAACCCCAGTTACCGTGTGCATTTTGGATTACATAAAACATTCACAAGTGTGCGTCTAACGTCGCTTGGCATTTAGCAATCGGTATTCAGGTATTTGAATTCGGTGCACCTGGTCATCAACAGTCACGTTAAATGGTCAGGAAATCTGAGCTTGAATTCCATTTCAACAGCCTACTAGCGTTCTTTTACACACAATCCAATGGGAATGCAATCTTTCACCATCCTTTTCCCTGTAGGGAGTGGGGTTGGTATCCACAGCCAGGACTTTCTGAATGAATCACACTGGGGTGTTTTTGAAAGCAAGAAATGAGAATAACTCAGTTGGGGTCACAGTGATTCTGTGAGGAGCTTCTCTAGAGGGACTTTTTCACCCTGAATGTAAACTCCTACATTTCCCTGGATACCATGGAAAATGCATGAAAATGCTCAAGTCTGTTACAGGAGTCAGTGAACTCTACCTATGAATAATGAATTATCTGGGAAGTTTAAGAAGGAGCTTTAGCAATATACTTGCATCTCCATTTCGCAAAATGCTTACATTTCACCATTAGTAAAAGAGATTAAAAATTGTTTCTGAATTACTTTAAGGGCAAAAAGGAGAAAAAAAAAAAAAGAGAGAGTTTTGGCAGTTTTTGTCTCCTCCAAGATGCTCCTGGTCCAGTCCAAATGAATCTAGCCATCATTGCTTCACAAACACTCAGGAACCCTCTGCTGGTTTCCTTTCCATGGGCAATTCACATGGGAACAAACAGCCCTCAGGACCCAATCGAACAATGGGTCTAATGCCCTCCTATAGTCTCTACAGATGCAAGAAGTCTTTCTATTACTGGAAAATTACTCTGCTGGGAAGGTTTTATGTGATTCGGGAATACTCAGCGGCCTCGGTGGCAGGTGGTCAGGCTCGGGTATACTCTGCACAGAACGCACAGAAGGCCATGAAAACCCCTTCAACAAAGGTCCTAGGGGCAACAAGTAAGCACTGAAAGAAAGCATCTCCATAGTTGAGAAACACTTGATTGCTCAATCACCCATGACTTGGGCAATCAAATATGCTGATGCTTGAATAAATACCTGATAATGTTAGAGACCGGGAGAAAAGGCAATGCAGGTGAGAACCTCCTACTATTTACATAGAAAAATGCTCAAAGGCATGGCCCAGAAAGAGTGGCTGTTGAACCACAGCCAGTTTTGCTGAGATGTGGATGTGAGAATGCTAAATTAAAGTTAGCGATTCATAGAACATTGGTTTCTTTGACTTCTTTTTTCTACTTTTCTATTTCTACCTATCAAAGAATGTTAGCAGGGATAATCTATTGTGTGATCACAGAGGAAGAGATTAGCAAGGCCACTGATTCGAGGAAGTGCAAAGTGGTGAGGCCAGAATGAAAGGCAAAAGGTGATTCTGGGAAGGAGTATGGCCAATTGGCCAAAATCCAAGGAAGAACAAGGGTAGAAAGAAATTCCTAGTATTGGGATAATACTAGGGGTTCAGGGGAGACTGAGGATGCTCTGACAAGTGAGAAGGAACACTAGTGAGAAGCCTCTTGGACCTGTTTTTATTTCACCCTCAGAGACAGGGGAGTGGGGCAACATTTCCTGTCCATTAATTTTAAGTATATCCCTTAAATTGCAAAAAATGTATTTCCCAAGGATCCTAATCCATAATGTCCCTGCTTTGGGCCACTGGACAGCCACTACCCAGCCATTTGGACACCAACAGATCCATCTGCTCTGAGATGAAATCCAATGGTAAATGTGTCAAGCAGATGAGCCTGTTCTTCCAGTGATTTCAGAGAAGGTACTGGTGGTCTATCGAAGGGCTTACATTGAAAATGGAGGACAATTTTCTCCTTCTTAGCATTACAGTATTCTCCTTACTTCGGTAATTGTAACAGTGTAGTACAAAATATTTTCTCCATAATTAAAACTGGAAGATGGAGAAAGGATGTGGGGTAGGGGAGAGCAAAATAAATCACATACTTTCAAGGGCAGTAAACAGACTTCCAAGATCAGTAATTTTGCATCTTTAGTTTGCACTGGTAACAATAATTCCAAGACTTTATCCCAAACACTTAAATAGAAATTTGTGTATGAGGATGTTTATCACAATATCATAATAGTAAAAAAATCAGACATATCTTCCATGTCCAGCAATAGGGAATTGGTTCAATAATGGTGGAACATCTAATAAAAATCCATACAATAGAACATATGCAGGCATTTAAAAACATCTTATTTCAGAGAATATTTAATAAGCACATATTCATGTTATTATTTTTTTTAATATTCATATTATTTTTAAATGAAAAAAGCAGAGTAGACAACATGTACAAGCTGGGCTTTAAATATCATGTAAAATATGGTTTCCCTACATACAGATATTACAGATCTCAGACTTAAATAGGTATAATAGGTTGAAGCCCATACGGTTAAAAAAAAAAAAGGCTGTGAAAATTAGTTTTACACATGCAACCTTACTCTTCGATTTCCACCTAATGACATCAAATAAGATCCTCTCCATGACGAAGATGATCTGAAGATGAACACGATGAAAATGGTACCTTGTGCCAGCCTTTTAAAGGCCATTTTCTTTTCTTCAGCATAAAGCCTTCGTGTTTGTCTGGTCTCTGGACATTGGTTTGGCCTATTTTCAGCCCTTCTATAATTTCCCAGCTGTCAGCTTCCTGAGAGAAAAGAAGAAAAACAAATCACATGTTTCTCAGTGTTTGATGACACAAAGTGGACTCTTAAGTAGAACCTGCTTTTGAAGCAACACTGGACACATCAGAAGTACGAACCACATTCTGGAGCAAAGTCTAACATTCGACACAGAGTTGTGCTGATAAGTGAAACGAGTTTCCAGGTAGACCTGGATGCACACAGGTCCATCGGAGATGGTTGGGCACTGGACTTCAGGGCAGAATGGAGTTTTGATGGCATGTACTCGGAAGGTTTAAAATGCATTTTTCCAGACAGTTCATCTCTGGGCACCACGGCACTTGAACGTTTTAAAGGAAGGCTGTTTTGGTGACAAATGTTCAATTAGTGCGGAGCCCTGGCCTTCTGTGTAAAATGGAAAGGCCGCAGTGTTCTGAGTGGTCCATCATCTACTGGACTAAAGGCAGTGCTGTGGGCTGCATGCGTTTCAGAGCGCACGGGACATGCCCTGCTCGCCTCGCGACACCCAGCAGTTCATGCTTTGGAAGACACATATCCCGAGAAACACACACCCTTGGGAGCCCACAGAAAGAGCATGGGATTTCAAGGCCAGAAATCTGGATGGATCCTAGAGGCTACACGATCACCCTCCTCTGTTAAAAACAGACCAAATCATGGTTTCTTCTTTTATAAGAAGACACACGTTCCATGTGTCTATGATGTCTAATTTTTTTCATGAGTTGTCAACATTTAAAAGTCAGAAGATTTCAGATGTAAAAAAATCTGAATTTCAAGTGTTTTGTTAAAGTCTGTAAGATCTGGCAGCACTGAGCCTGCCCTGAGGGAAGGGTGCCCAGAAATCTTCAGTTTGCCACAGTCCCCTGTGGGCCCACCTCCATGTTAGATACCTGGCCCCTAGCAACATCCCAGGTTTTCAAATCCCTGGACCAGGTGATCCTAAAGGACCTGTGCAGCTCCAAAGTAACGGCTGACCTGACCAACACTGATATTCTAGAGCTCGGGCATGTGGCACAATGAAGCAGGCGAGGCGGAAGCAACAAGGTCACGTCCCATGCACAACGGCTACAACCCCTCCCACAGCGCAGGGAGGCACAATCTCTCGGGGTAAGTGCTCTGTTGGCTCAGCTTCAGAAAGCTGGATGCAGCTCCACAGATGAGGGCAGGCCTCTCTGCAGAATGCCCCAGCCCAAAGGGGCTTGCGAAATTGCCTTCCGAAGAGATACGTTCTATCAGGAACCGCCCTTCAATCACGGAACAGAGGCTTCAAGAGTAATGGCTGATGGGGTCCACCTCAGGGCAGATGGACTTGCTGGCGCAAAGGTCTAGGTGGCGGCCGCCCAGAGCCTGCTGAAGGACCGTGAGGCTCTGACAAGGCCCAGAGGCAGAGGTGCCACGATCAGTCACTGATGCTGGCCCTGGGGACTGGAAGGGAGAGGCTAACGTATTTACCCTCCATTCCCCTTTTCCTTTTTCCCTCCTTCCATCCCAGGAGCTGCTTGCCCCCTATGGCCAAATCACATCTCTTTTAAGGTCAAGTACGTATAAACGGGGGTGTGTTTTTTCTTTTTTTTTTTTTTAAAGATTTTATTTATTTATTTGACAGAGAGAGACACAGCCAGAGAGCGAACACAAGCAGGGGGAGTGGGAGAGGGAGAAGCAGGCTTCCCGCTGAGCAGGACTCTGGGATCATGACCTGAGCCAAAGGCAGCCGCTTAACGACTGAGCCACCCAGGCGCCCCAAGGGGGGTGTGTTTTTTCACAGTAAGTTATGTTTCTAGGAGATGCAGCCGAGCATTGCTTCATTCTAGCATCACTAAGCCTAGGAGATACTCCTGGCTTATAAAAAGCCCTCTCAGCCAACATCGTGCCTCTGTCCTTCCAAATCCAACTCTAAATGCCCCCCACTGGACAAGAAAAACCAATCTGAGACCAGTGCCATTTCTTTGTCTACTTGGTCATCCATGAGGAGGGGTCCCCAGTGAATGAGATATTTACCTTACAAAAACACACCTACTGGTATCCATTTACCAACATTAAGAACTCTTTACAGTATCTGTAAGTGTCCCCTTACAAACAGCCCAAGAAGTAATCTTCTATTTGAAGATAATACTATCAGGAACTGTGACTGAACGGGTCAAAACTGTTAATTAGATACAGTAATTTTTTTTTTTTTTTTTTTAAGAGAGAGCGAGCGTGAGTTGGGGGAAGAGGCAAAAGGAAATGGAGAGAATCCCAAGCAGGCTCCATGCCCATGCATAGAGCCCGATGCGAAGCTTGATCTCATGACCCTGAGATCATGACCTGAGCCAAACTCACGAGTCGGATGCTTAACAGACTGAGTCACTCAGGCCCCCCTAAATACAATAATTAAAAAAAAAATGTTTCTGCTGAGACAATTTCAGGCTGTATACCATATTTTTTGAACAATATAAGTACTGGTGGCATTATGGTCTGGAGCACAAAGTGAGGTGCTCTGATATTCCCATTTTAAAATATTGATCTACAATTCAACAAATAAGCATTGCTTACGAATGTTAGAATAATCAGAGAAAACACTAGGTTCTACTATCACCAGGAGAGTGGACTAAAATTTTCATAAAAATGATGGATTTTTACTTACTTTTTAAAAGTTTGATACAGTCAAGTAATAAAAGAATAACTCTCCATATATGTGTAAATATATTCATTAGAGCTTTCTCTGTTCTTAGATAGCAGCTGTATTTAATGACATTTCTATTTTTAGTAGCCTTATCCATAGATAGCATCTCTAGAATAACATTTTCATTTTCAGCTAGATCTTATTTGAAGGCTAGTGTTCATCTTTGATTTATTCTGTGTGTGTATATATGATGTGTATATATAAGTGATGTGTGTGTGTATACACAGGATGTGCCTGTGTACCTATGAGATATATATATATATATGATGTGGTGTGTGTGTGTGTATATTTATATATGTATATATATATATATATGAAAACCCTGGATAACTTGTAAAAATGGAAATATTTAATAATAAGTACAGTGCTTTGGGGATTTTTTTCTAATTAAACTCAGACACAATACTAGCTTATTCCTGAGGCGCTATGGCTACTGATTTCTATCACAGTAGTTTTTTCTTAGTTTAACTAACAGAGGAAGAAAAAAGGGGATAAGATAGAAAAGGTGAAAAATTAAAATGTATTTCTTAAACATAAATGCAGTAGTTCCAAACAAATAACTCCATTTACTCTGATCCAATGTTACTAAAGCCAAAAGAAACTGAAAAGAATCCTAATACAGTTCTTAACAGTTAAATAAGCTGTCAAACTGACAAAGAGGCAACAAGGTAAATCCAGAACAAACAACATCCTCCCTATTTCAGTTATAAATGCTGATGATGTTATAAATAAGGTGTGTAAGATATGAACACAGCCCATCTCAGTGCTTAATACGACCCACCTCTATGCTTAGTAGACTAGGTCTACCTTAAGAAAGTTAAAGTCACTTTCTGAAAACTGAAGAACTTTTTTTGTAATTTCAACTGATACTCATTTTCTGTTTTAAAGTCTCTAATTTTCAGGGCGCCTGGGTGGCTCAGTCGTTAAGCATCTGCCTTCGGCTCAGGTCATGGTCCCAGGGTCCTGGGATCGAGCCCCGCATCGGGCTCCCTGCTCCGCGGGAAGCCTGCTTCTCCCTCTCCTACTCCCCCTGCTTGTGTTCCTTCTCTTGCTGTGTCTCTCTCTGTCAAATAAATAAATAAATAAAATCTTAAAAAAAAAAAAGTCTCTAATTTTCGTTGGTTTACTTATAATAGAAACAGAGTCAAAAGCCCTAATGTGATCATATTGGAACTTGAGTCAGATATACAAACATTTTTGCTGTTCTAGAAATTTTAAATACACTTTTTACCTAATAATAATAACTAAAAACAGAAAGTAATCCGATAACAGTCTGTTCATTTGAGACATTTCCTTTCTCCAGGGTATACTCTAGATGCATGAATGCTGGGGGCGGGGTGGGGCGGTCTGGGAACATGCTTCGGGAGGTGAAAACACCGAACAAAGAATTTCAACAAATCCTGAGTCAGGACATTGTGTACTTCAAACAATGTTCTTCCACCACCAACTGGTGCCCAAGAAGTCCGTCTTCTCTCAAAGGGACTGAGAGATGGTGAGATGCCATGGTATCTGGAATGGATGGGATCCTCTGATTTCAGGAGGCCCCGAGAGATGTGGTATCTATTAGTACAAAAACCACCACAAGAGTAGTAGTCCTCTAGCAGGATCCACGCGGGTAACAGCACGGAGGAGTAGTGGGAGGTGGACGCTGTTGGCGCCCGACCCAGGCGCCCGTATCAGGCCAGTGGATCCTTGCCCCAGCTGCCTGAGCACTGCAGAAGCTCCCTCCTTCCCCGGTGAACTGCTGCCTGCTGAAGCTGGGGCCTCCGCGCCTGCGCACGGGTCTCCCTCCTCCACAGCTGCAGCATCCCCACCTCAGCCTCTCCCTCCCTCAAGACTCTCACCTACTGAAGGACCCAAGAGTACAAACAGCCGAAGGAACAAAAAGTCCCTGCCTCAGAGTGAGAGCCACTCTGTGGTACAATTCATGCTCCGGGGCTCACCCTGGGAGCAGGCTCAAGGGGGGACTCTAGCCCAAACTCCTTCTTGCCAGCACCGCACTGCCCTAACCTCTGCTCTTATCCTTGCTCCTGAGGGCTCTCCCTCAATGAATCACAACCACCCTACGCCCAGTCCTCCTTCTAGAGGACCTGATGTAAGAAAGAATGTAAGATAAAGTAAGAGATGTCAAGTACAGGGACAGGCTGGGGCGGAGGGTGGGTCGGGGCTGGGAGGTGAGGAGCAGCATTTGCAGAAGGATTCCTGTGGGCCCGACTTAGGAGAGTAGGAGTTTTAGCTAGGTGCAGGAGAGCACTCCAGAAGGAACAGACATGCCGCCGTGGAGGAGAGAAAGAGCACGGCCAGGGCAGAGAACTGTGTGCAGACGCATGTAGCTGGAGTAGAAAGTGAGATGTCAAGGACGCTAGAGATGCACTTGGTGGGAGACGAGGAACCAAAGCAAGTCTTGTGTGCATTTGCTCTTTATTATTATTCTTGTACTTACTAGATCGCCAGTTTATCATAAAAGGACATAACTCGGGAATAGCCAGGTGGAAAGGATGCAGAGGGCAAGCTCTGGGCACAGGGTGTGGAGCTTCCGTGCCCTCTGCAGGGGCGCCAATTCCCCAGGGCCTCCCCGTGTTCGACAACCAGGAAGTTCCTCCTGATTTGTGCTTTGAATACCAGCAACTCTCCTTTCTGTTTCTGTGTGTTAGTCTTAGAGGTCTCCTCTCACCGTGTATCTCTCACCATCCTGGTCTCTGGCACACACCTCCCGGCTGTCTGACTCTGGACAACTAACTTATGCTCCAAGTCTCAGTTTTCCTTATCAGTAAAATGAGAAGAACATCAGTAGTCACTTCATTGAGGAGGCTGATGTGAGAGAATATCTGTACTGATGCAATGCCTGGGACAAAGTAGGTGCTCAAGAAATGTTAGCTGCCTCTTCCACTGCCCCAGTATTTATTTATCCTCTCTCTCCACTAGCTGCTTGTAAGAGAGAACTGATGTTTTCAAAGAGATTACTAGTTGTAGTTACCAAGTAGGCATTCTCTCTGTTTGCCATTCAAATAGAAATCAGATTATTTTCTCTTTCTCTCTACATTATTAAGTTTGATAACCCCTTTCCTTAGTTTTGCAGTCTACTCCTGTCCAATAACACAAACTTTATAGCTTGCAATATCTTTCAACTATGAAGAGTACAAGCATATATATTCCATACCATAAAGTGTGTTCTTTCCTTAAAGGATTCTGTTTAATATAGGAAAAGCAGAGTGGAAGAATCAGTGATACATATTTCAAAGCCTTTTTGGGGGAAATAAAGTGCTATTTTTATATTTGCATTCCAAATCCCCATGCATTCTATTTTCTGAGTTTCTCCATAGGAGAGGCAGCCCGCTGAAAATGCAGGGAGTCGAGCAAAGGGTAGGGATGAGTAGGATGGCATCTCCTCAACTTTTCTTTATAATTTTTTGCATTTGAGACATAAATGAATTTAGATGTGTCCCCAGTCCAAGGAAGAGAAGGCTGAAGGGAAGAAACGCTGGTTTCCATTAAACTGAAGAGGTTTTCATGGGTAGTCTGTAGTGTTCTCCTCGGAGCTCAGAGTGAGGAAGGCCAGATGGGAGGGGAAGACTGGGACTCTGAATGTCCAACAACCCCTCCAGGCAGGTGCTATTGGACCTGCAGGTGGGGTAGAACTGAAACAGTCTAAGTCTGAATCCCTGCCCTGCTACTTAGCAGCTTTTTCAGACTTTGAGCAAGTTCTTAATTCTCGGTTTCCGTATTTTTTTTTTTTTAAGATTTTATTTATTTGACTGAGAGAGGAGCACAAGCAGGGGGAGTGGGAGAGGGAGAAGCAGGCTTCCCGCCGAGCAGGGAGCCTGATGTGGGGCTCGATCCCAGGACTCTGGGATCATGACCTGAGCCTAAGGCAGACGCTTAATGACTGAGCCACCCAGGCGCCCCTTGGTTTCCGTATTTGTAAACGTAATAGATACCTACAGCGCATGGAGCTGTTAGCAAGGGTTCTGTTAAATGGGATCATGTATTTAAGCACCTGGCACCGTGCCTGGAACACAGTGCACAGGCAATCATGGTGGCCGTTGCTGCTATTGTTAGTATTGTGATTTTTTTGCTGGACCCAGTGATTTTTTTTTGTATTAGCTTGATGTAGAAATAGTAGCTCATGTCTCCAACAGGAGAATTACAATGGTTTCTCTTCCTCTAAACCAAAAGAGTATTTTGGATCTTTGTAGTCCTGCAATTCCCAGCAAAATATACTTTCATCTATTCCTCCCTTATCCCGGGCAGAGAAAGCCTACATACTGGAGGCGGAAAGACGTGGCAGCGCAGGCCTACGAGAGGAATCACAGAGACCCCAGGGGAGTCAGGAGGAAGGCCTGTTTACAGTTCCGCTGGCCCCCGAACAGGCATCATGCCATCCGAGAAAGCACCACATCCCGTCACTGACCTTGGAGAGGGGTACAGGCTCTGGTTCGAGCAACTGCCGACTGACAGAGGGCTCGGTGCTGGAGGAAGCAGTCCTCTCCAGTACGTGGATACTCTGAAAACACATGGAAATACAGCCCAGGATTAGACAACCCATTTTTCATGAGGATGGACCTGGGGGGTGAGACCACACGAATCACAGTAAGAACAGTGAGCCATGTTAACCATGGCAAGTTCCTGAGGAGACCAAAGGCAGCAATAACAGTCAGAAAAATGTCAGCACAGGATTTGGTTTTCCCCCCTTAGGCATTTGCTGCTGCTGTACTGGTTTCAGCTCGGAGAAAAGGTCAGAGATCACACAGATTTAAAAAACCACAAAGCATGTCTCAACATATTTATACCTTTATGAGAATGCACATCTACCGCTCAGACAATTAGCCTTACATACAAATTTTTGCTTATCTTTCAACTATGAAGAGTACAAGCATATATATTCCATACCATAAAGTGTGTTCTTTCCTTAAAGGATTCTGTTTAATATAGGAAAAGCAGAGGGCAACAGACAAAAAGGAAAGTCTGTATCCAAAAAGCCCAGAGCCTTAATACCACTTAAGTCTCTAGAGTTTCTTATAACCCTTACGAAATAATTATAATTGTAATATTTTGTAATAACTTTTAAATACACAGAGAAGAAAACAATTCATCAAATACAATAAACAGCGGATGTGTTTTACAGACTATAAAAAGCAGTAAGATAACATGCCGACCGAAAAATAGGCAAAGTACATGAACAAGCAACTCATGCAGAACACACACACACACGTGTGTGTGTGTGTGTACATATATATACACATACACACACACACACACACACACACACAATGGAGTATTACTCAGCCATAAAAAAAATGAAATCTTGCCATTTGTAACAACATGGATGGAACTAGAGGGTATTATGCTAAGCAAAATAAGTCAACAGAGAAAAACAATTATCATATGATCTCACTCCTATGTGGAATTTAAGGAACAAAAGAGAGGAGCATAGGGGCAGGGAGGAAAAAATGTTAGACTAAATCAGAGAGGAAGACAAACCATAAGAGACTCTCAATCTCAGGAAACAGACTGAGGGTTGCTGGAGTGGAGGAGGGGTGGGAGGGATGGGGTAACTGGGTGATGGACATTAAGGAGGGCGTGTGATATAATGAGCCCTGGGTGTTATATAAGGTTGATGAGTCACTGACCTCTACCTCTGAAACTAATAATATACTATATGTTAATTAATTGAATTTAGATTTAAAAGAATGAAAAAAAGGAAAAAAAAAAAAAAGAGTTCCTTACCCCACATAATGCATGATTTATTTCTGGGAAAAGGAAATACACTAACCCAGAAATATTCCATGAAATGAACTGCCTGGTAAATTTGTTGGGGGAAAAAAAAAACCCTTTTTACAGAGTTATTAAATAGAAAAGCCAAAAGAAGTTTTATTCTAAAGTCAGTATTGACTAAAATCAAACCATCATGGTACAGTGTGGGGTAATACAGAAAATGTCATTTGGGGCAGGTGGTAGGGAAGTAGAATTATCTCTGGCATCTTTTCCAAACTACACATATCATCCCACACATAGATTCTGATGGGCCCCCAGGGAAAATCTCCCACCTTCTCACCCCAGATAGGAACACTGCTATTGATGGGCAGGAATCATCAGATTTGCTGAGAGAGAAATGGATGAGAAATGAGCAAAATCAGGTAAACCACTGGCCTACAGTCAGATGAAACGAGAACTGAACTTGGGTTCTGACACATACTAAGTACTTGTTTGGGGCTATTATTTAATTTCTCTCCGCATCTATTTCCTTGTCTTCTGGAAAAGGAGAGAATAGTAAGAGCTACCTTATGAGTTTAATGTAAACATTAAGTGAGATATATGATAATGATATTAAATAAATGTTAGTGGATTCTGAATTATGTTGTGCCATTTATATCTATGATATTTTATCAAATAAATATGTCAGACTCTATCTACTGTTTTCATTTTACCTTAAAAAAAAAAAAAGCAAAGGCATCTTACGGAGGGAAAAACTGGTAGTGTGTGCTCAGATCTTTAACAGACAAAAAGGGAACAAAGGCCCGGGAACTTGCATTATTTGTTTGCTCATGTTGGTATTCTGGATAGGATCCTATTAGAAACATATCAGCTAAATTTAAAATTTAGATGTATTCTGAGATCATATAATTAGAAACTAAAATGAGAATTTTATTGCTGTTGAAACAAAAACATTATTACCTTCTTCTGGGAGGTAATCGTCCCTCCTCCCAACTTTCATTTTCTTTCTTATGTTTTATTTTATTTTATTTTTTTTTATTTATCTGAGAGAGAATGGGAGACAGAGAGCATGAGAGGGGGAGGATCAGAGGGAGAAGCAGACTCCCCGCTGAGCAGGGAGTCTGATGCGGGACTCGATCCCGGGACTCCAGGATCATGACCTGAGCCGAAGGCAGTTGCTTAACCAACTGAGCCACCCAGGCGCCCCTTCTTTCTTATGTTTTAAAATGACAAAACTAATATATGCTCATTATAAAAGATTCAAATACAACATAGAAAAATAGAAAAGGAAAGGTCAAACTTCCCAATCATCATTCCAACCCCTAGCTTCTGTAGCAGTAACTCTCAAAAGGTAACCCACAAACCAAAACCTCAATAAGGCTGAACCAATTTTTTTTTTTAAGATTTTATTATTATTTATTTGACAGAGAGAGACACAGCAAGATACGGAACACAAGCAGGGGGAGTGGGAGAGGGAGAAGCAGGCCTTCCGAGGAGCACGGAGCCAGACCCGGGGCTCGATCCCAGCGTCCTGGGATCATGATCTGAGCCGAAGGCCGACACCCAACGACTGAGCCACCCAGGTGCCCCATGGCTGAACCAATTTTTGTAAACCTGCGTCTTAACCCTGGTTCCCTTTGGTTACCAATTTTACTTACTCTAAATTGTCCAGTGAAATATATTTGGCTCGAGCCTCTCTCTTTAAGGACCCTCCTCTACCCTCATCTTTGCAGGTGTGTTGGGCAATAAAACACATACACGTTGCCTCCCTGGCCCCGCCCCCAACAAATACACATGGTAAGAAAAGCAAAACTTGGAAAGAAACTTGACCTTAGCAACTATAAGGCGGGAAATAAAGTATTAACCCAGGAATTTAGCGAGAGGAAGGAAACTAAATCCTCTAATTTCCAAACCAAGCCACAGACATAGAAGAGCAATTAAGGATATTTAAAGCGTGATAAAAATGAGTTTTGTCTCTATAGATACCTGGGAATATTTAAAATGTTGCTAGGATTTTGTGAATCAGAAGGGTTAGTGACCAAACCAGGAAGAATCTACAAAATACCTCCTGCGGTATCTGTGACAAATAACACAATGTTAGTTTTTTTTCTACCTGGTTTTACAAAAGTTTCTATTATAGAAGAAAAGAGGTTCATTTATTTCAAACATAGTACAATACAGCACACATTCAAGCTGAGTGAAAAATACAAGCTCCAAACATTGATTTGCCAAGTCACAGATAATTATAAAAAGTTTACTAAGAAATTGTAAATAAATGTTTTCTTACCACAAATGTATGTATACATTTTACTAAAAAATTAAAGCATAATTGATAAAACTACCAGGTGATACTCATTATTATTGTCACTAGCTTCAAAAAATAAGCTATTTCATTTAACTTCTGTAATGATAATGAAGAAGCCAAAAGCTCTCATGCAAACTTGCGCAGTCTTACATTTGTATATTATTAGAACCTATCGCTGTCTATCCAATTATTTATTACCCAATCCTAAAAAATTAACCCACTACCTTAAGAATTACCTTCACACTCATGGAGTTTAAAGCCAAAAGCATATCCCTGAGGTTATTTAATCATACACATAACCATTCATTATTTGTTTTGATTGTTTTATTTGTTTTTGTTCTTTTTTAAGGGGGGAGGCAGGGGCAGAGAGAGAATCTTAAGCAGGCTCCACACCCAGCTGAGAGCCCAATGCGGGGCTTGAACTCACAACCCTGAGATCATGACCTAAGCCAAAACCAAGAGTTGGACACTTAACTGACTGAGCCACCCATTCATTATTTGTAATGAAACATCTAAATACTTGAATGTTCTATTTTCAATATTGGCAAATAAAAAGAAGACAGTTTTTAAACTTCACCATACTCAGTCTTGGACTCTAGTTAGATTGGGTGCTCCTTGAAGGTAGAGAGCAGCTCATCTTCACCTTGTTATCCCACCTCTTCTACTGCCAACCCACCCTTAGCACAAGACCCTGCACACTGTGGCCAGCCAAAAATTTCTGGAGTTTTTCAGTGAGCTCTGATTAATTTATAGAGACCGGTCCCTTAACAATCCTTGACACGATTAGGCATAAAACTGCCTTCTAGCTTCATACTGGAATTATAAAAAAAAAATCACAGCTCCAATGGGATAGAGCTTTTGAAAACATTTTAAAGAACTTAACTTTTAAAAGTGAAACAGCCAGTAGATTAACCACAGTGCTCTTGTTTGGTAGATTTAAAGCTAACGGCTGGGTCAAATCTAACATGGCAACATCTTCAGTAACAAAACTGAATCCATTTCATAAGGTTTCCTTTACGATCATAATCAGTGCTATACTTTTGTGTATTTTTCTTCACAAGCTGGCTATTTTCATATTCTTTCACGGTGACGTGGAAACATGCCAAATATCTTCAAGGTGTTATTACATATTATATAAGCAGGTTAAATAAAGGATTACATAAACTTGTAAATTATTCTTTTAAAATCAAGTTTCCTTTCAAATACTAAAATTACAACTTTTCAGGTCAGTGTATTTTTTGGTTTTTTCTCTAAGCCTTTTTTTTAGAGCAGTTTTACGTTCACAGCAAAATTGGGAGGAGATTTCAGAGACTTCCCATATACCACTGGTCCCCACATAGGCATAGTGTCCCCCATTATTAGTCTCCCCCACTAGAGTGGTACATTTGTGACAGTGACGAACCTAGATGGTCAGTTTTTTAAGGAACTCAGAACACACAGAGACAGCACTCAGTTGCCCGTTATTCCCCCTGCTCAGAGAGAAC